AGATTGCCAGTATATGACTTCCTATTCAACTTCAATAGTAACTACGGACCTATCTCTGCCAGTTTTGGAGATATAAGGGACTAAATGTTATAATTTTGGAGTTACCATAATGTGCCATAAATTTCCTACAGAAAAAATTAATTAAAACAAAGAAAAGGTCATTTTGGTCAAAATTCTTGAAATGGGAGGTGCTCTGAAGTTCCAGAAGTTCAAATTTGATGAAATAATGTCATTTTTGACCACAAGTTGTCTGCTTTGCCAAGCCTTATATATTGTTTTTCTGGAGTTCAAAATTTACTATCCATTACCGTACTGCACATTTTGCTTTATCCACCAATATGTACTTTTTGATACAGCGTAACTCGAAAACCGTATGGAATACAAAAAAACGGAGACCACATCCAGTGTTTGGCTTTACATGCTCTACAAAATGCAAAAAAGAATGGGTCTCTAGCGTTAACGGTTCCCGAATTAGAGACAGTTTTCTGTTTCAGTATCTTATGGCTGTTACTCTTGTGAAAATGCACCGATTGACCCCAAATTCACGGAGATGAAATATGACCTGCAGGGTAACAACTTCCAATAATATTATTGGTTAAGTCTATGTGGTGTCTGAATAACAGGCCAAATAATTTTTTTTTCGTAAAAAAATTAATTTTTTTGAAAATTTTGGCCCATTTGACCTTGAAATAAAGGTCAAAGGTCAAATCCAAGGGCATATTTGAAATCTACACATATGACTTTTGGAAAGCCGTCTGTAGAAATTTTTCCCATAATTCCTTCCGTAGGGTAGATAATTAGCATTTAATTTTGCCATTTTTAGACAAGGGTGCATTGCAATGAGTGCCACACCTAGACCCCAATACCGACAAAGCCCAAATTTTACGTGGAACGAGTTGAGATTATAGGTGACCTAAATCCAAGAGATGGGTACAGGGGCCCTTACCGTCTAGGAGGAGAAGCGGTAACGGTAGCCGTCCGGCGGAGCCGCAGGAGCCGGCGGAGCCGGCGGAACGATCCGGACGGGACTAAAACCATGTGTACCACCAGCGCTAACGCTGGTGGTACAATGATGATGTCACAATGTTCAATGTCTTTCCATAATACAAAAACAAGACTTGATAGCAGAGTATGTGTTCAATGTCTTAATTCCCATAAAATACAGCAACTGCTGTTGTTTAAATGCTCAATAAATTTCCAACAACAAGAGATATTAAATTGAATACAATATGTAGCAAAGTTTTATCTTGTATTATAAAGTGGTAAAGTGACCAAAATGATTTTCTTACCTGTCTTCCCTCATAACCTTGAACTATTCTACAGGTTATACAGTGGTTAAAAGTCCTGAGATGGTTTGGGCAGCTACACTTTGTAAAGCACATCAGATAACAGTAGTATGGGGTGACTGAATGAAGCTGCAATCTTACTGGATAGCACATCTTACAGTGTAGCATATCAGTTCTCTAAGTCCATCTTCCCCTTTTCCATACACTAAAATTCAAAGAAATAAAGGGGCCGTAGCAATAGTCCGAAGGTTCAATAGTCCGAAGGTTCATTGGTCCGAATGTTCACTATAGAACCTTCGGACCAATGAACCCTTGATTAAAAAATCAATAAAAATGTTACCACTTTTCGGACCAATGAACCTTCGGACCAATGAACCTTCGGACGCCCCCAAAATAAAAATGAAAACTAATTTCCATTTGTCATGAAAGAAAATAATTGAAACTAGACAGCAAAGTTAACTAGAGGATCATAGAGGCGAAACTGCCTCTGGATATTGTACCACCAGCTGGAGTAAGCACATTCGTATTGAAAACCAAAAACAAGGGACACAACCACCAGTGTTGTGTTTGACAAGCTCTATAAAATGCAATAAACAAGACAAGAAATGTGCCCCCCCCCCCAAAAAAAAAGCACAACTTTTATAAAAATTGTCCAATGAAGCCAATTTTCTAGACAATTAATAGGATTGTCAGTTTTCCTTGGAATGTGTTATCAGTGTTAAATATATGTTGAAAAAAGAAATAGGCCTATCTCTGCCAGTTTTTGAAATACAAGGGATGGAAAATTTGCAAAGTTCATGGTAAAAAGAAGGTCAAAGGTCAATTTCAAAGTCACAGTTCAAATTGCCAGTACATGACTTCCTATTCAAGTTCAATAGTAACTATATATGGGCATATCTTTGCCAGTTTTGGAGATATAAAGGCCAGAAAACATGCACAGTGCAGTTCGTCATGAAATGTAAGTCAAAGGTCAATTTCAAGGTCACAGTTATATTGCCAGTAGAGACACAGGTCCTTGCGGTCTAGGAGGAAAACCAGTAAAGGTGACTTGTATCCCACGCCACCCTGCAGAGCCAGCGGAGCTCACGGAGCCAGCAGAGCCGTACGATACAGGCCAGGACTACAACCATGAGTACTGCCAGTGTACACCCTGGTGGTACTAATAAATATACAAACACCCAAAATAAAAATCTTTTTCAACAATGCTAAAACCAGGCAGCAAAATTGCCAACTGTACAGACAAGAGATAACTACACTGAAATAAGTTTATTTCCATTTTCTACACTTTTTTTTACATAATACAAAATAAACAATTTAATGTCATCTTCATATGATCAATTAAAAAAATTGCTGAGATAGGAAAAATAGCAATAGAACATTTTTAAATGTCAAATTTGCTCCATTCTGATATTTTGAACATAGTGAAATCATCTGACAAATGGCAATGACATGGGTTTATCTCCCATTTTTGACACTTTAAGTACTGCACAATACACGATAACAGGTTTACCATTATTTTAATAATGCAGAAAATGTCAAAATAACACTTTTACCCATCTAATTAATTCAATAATGAGGCTGTTAATTGACATGCTTAATATATTAATTCTGAGGAAAACCACTTATATACAACAAGAGGCATTACTTTAGCGAAACAGAAACCATGAAGCTTCTTTTAAAAATGTAATCTGTATATTAGCCCTTTGAACCAGTACCAGTAATGACAGCTGCAGCATACTAAGTGCTGATGGCTTCCATGTCATGCCTGTAAACTTGCCATTTCATACCTAATGGGAAACAATGTCTACGCATGCAAATAGCCATCTGCAGAAAACTTTCCAGGGCGGGGAGGGGGGGGGGCTCAAAGTCATTGAAGGGGGAGATAATGATTGGCTGCGTACCCGCAATTAACATGCCCGCCAAAATTCCAGGAGGGGGGGTCAAGTGACCCCATTGAGACCCCCCCCCCGCGGATGCCCATGCGCATGCATGTACTAGTGTATTAGTCAGTGAAGCTAATCCTCAGTCACATGCACCTTACCATCTTACATTGGAGAAATAACATAAAGTGACTCCAATGATTTAACCGTGCTCATTAAATTTTGAACAAAATGTGGCAAGTGCAACAATATGCTTAAGTGGCCAATGACGAAAGATGAAATCTGAATATGTTTTGAAAGCATTACCCAGAAACTGCCAGATCACCCCGCTCTTCTGGGAGTAGCAAACACTGTTTTACACCACCACCAGACATTTTGGACGGTTTAAATGATGGCATAATTTAGACTACAGTTTTACCTAACCTCCATTGCTAAGATAATAAAATAAACTCTTACTCTGGTAAAATATGGAATGTAAATTCTACAAATGCATCGATCAACATATTAGCTATGACATGTATCCACTGGTGGTTAATGTATTTATATGCATGATTGAACACTGGAACGGGGCATTCTTAAAACATATCATTACAATAATTAAAGCTAAACATTGTAAAGCACAACTGGGGCAACAAAGAAAATAAAACAAAACTGGTTAAAATGAGACAAAGATTTAAAAACCTTGGTTTATAGGTGCATAAAAAGTTTAAATGCCTCCAGTTGCCTTGTACAGCTACTGGTACATGACAGCAGATTGAAAATAATGGCTGCAACATAAAGGAATTTGTGATACATTCTGTCAATTTTAATGCAACATTACATAAAGCTTAACAGCAAAACCAACACCATATTTTGATTATGCACTGTAGGTAACACAGATATTAAGGATAGATGGCCAACTTCAGGCCCATGACAGTGCAGATTCACACATTTAACATGCAAAATTGAAAATTTCTCAAAAAAATGCATAAATTCAAGATAAATAATCCAATCATGCAGGTTCTCTAATTCGAGCTACACATCAATTTTAAGTATCATTTTTATAAGTTCAAAAATAAGTCACACTGTTTTTCTTTTATTGAATTTATGGTGACAAGCTGTATTTTAGTCGTATGTTTCTTTTCTGTAAGTTTCAGAATCTTAAGTATTCGGTTTACCTTAAATGGCCACTACTGCGGCACTGCCCAAAAAAGGGTTTTCTTCAATTTCGATGAAATATACTACATAATGCTTAACAGCATAATCACCACCAATTTTAACTAGAGGATCAGAGGCGATACCACCTCCGGATATTGTACCACCAGCAGGAGTAAGCGTGTTCGTATGGAAAACTAAAAACAAAGGGGCACAACCAATAGTGTTGTGCTTGACAAGCTCTACAAATTGTAATAAACAAGAAATATACCCCCCCCCCAAAAAAAAAGCAAAAAAAAAAAAATTACAACTTTTATAAAAATGGTCCGATCAATTTTCAAGACAATAGGATTGTCAGTTTTTCCTTGGAAAGTGTGATCAGTGTTAAATTTATGTTGAAAAAAGAAATATTTTATTTTATTAAATTTTATTTTAAATGTAGATATTTCAGGTGCACACATTAATGTTAAATGTCATTTGTCAACACTATTCAGTGTTTATTATTAGTCTGCTTCATTTCTCTTAGTTTTGGGACTTTCAATAAATGCGGCCGTCACCGGCCAAATTTCGAACATCATACTTGAGTGTGTCACATCACTTTATCAGCATGTTGTTATATTTAAATTAGCTTAGATCAAGGAGACATAAAAGAAATAGGCCTATCTCTGCCAGTTTTTGAAATACAAGGGATGGAAAATTTGCAAAATTCAGTCTGTCTGCCTCTCACAGGCCTCCCCATGTGTCGTCCCAATGGAGCCGAGATTTAATGAATGCATGTACCTCCGCAGGTATGACGCATGGGGAGGTATGTGAGAGGCGGAGAGACTATTAAAAGATTAGGCGGTTTTCCTTTCATGTAAGTCCGCCATATTTAGTTTGTGACTTTGTAGATCCATGGCTCAACTCGATCTGAATGCAGTCTTACACCCCATTCTCATAGATTAGATCGACCTACATTGGATCGACCTAACTCCCTGGGGGTTCACGCTAAATAGCTGTCAGCCGGGCGGACACGAAAGTTAATTACCCCTTAAAGTTTGTAGTAGGCGGGGACGGACACTTAAGGGGGATTATCTGACAGTAATCTAGTGAGACTCCCCGCGGTGATAGATCGATCTAAAAGTTGTGAGAACAGAGCCTTAGTCACATTTATCAGTCCTGTAAGTTTGAAGACAAGCAAACTGTTTTCGATGAAATAGGGTATCTGCATTGCATATTACATATATATTTACTGGTACTAGTACATGTAAGAATAATACACAAGTACTGAAAGAAAAAAAAAACAGCATAACATTTAAAAAACTCCGATGAAGCTGGTTTTGAAATTCAACCTGTATCTAAGTTACATAATAATATAATAATAAGATTCTTATATGGCGCCGTACATTCTATCTCAAGGCGCCTTACAATAATGGCTAATATACTAAAATCATTAAAATGACAATATTTTAATCTTAAACTCTCATTGGAAACCATTTAAAATTTACACTACTAAAAATCAATCTTATTAAAATACATATATATATATATAAAATCTAAGAGATATAGACAGAATTAAAAATGTGGGTCTTTAAAAGAGATTTAAAATTGTCAAAGTCTTCTGTTTTTCTAATAAAATTTGGTATGGCATTCCACACTTTTGGGGCGTAGATTATAAAAGCACGAACTTTTGAGGCACCCCTTCTCTAAAACAGAATGTTTTCAAATAAAATCATTCTCAGTATTAAAACGTGTGGACCGCCGTGGTAAGTTAAAACAGATAAGATCAGATAAATATAATGGTCCTTGTGAATGGATCGCCTTAAAAATAATACAAAATACTTTAAAATCAATCCTCTGCTTCACAGGCAGCCAGTGTAATTCTTTCAGAATGGGAGTGATATGGTCTGTACTATTGTACTTAATTTGACAAACCAGTCTTGCAGCTGAGTTTTGAATAACTTGTAACTTTTTAATCTGATAGTCACAAATACCAAAGAGGAGACTATTGCAGTAATCTAATCTTGATTATATAAATGCATGTACTAATTTTTCAGTGGTTTGTTATTTAACACTTTCCTTATTTTTCCAATGCGCCATAGTGCACAAGATGCTGATTTACACACTTCAGGTACACGCTTCCCCATAGTGCCATTTTCATCGTGGGTAACTCCCAGATCTTTTACAGAACTAGA